AATGCATGGAATCATGCCTCTCCCTCTCGCCAACCCGGCTCCAGGCATGCTGGCTTCTTCCAGGCCCCAGAATGCTCCTTGGAGCCGCTGGCCCACTGCCAGGAGCCTCTGCCCATAGTTGTCCTTGTGGCCACTCTCCCGGCCTCGCACCTCGTCACAGCGGCCAGCTCCTCCCTGGTATTCATCATTGTTCCCTGTTGATTCTCTCCAGAGCACTAACCACGTTGTATATTTTGTGCTATTACTTACATACTTGTCTATATTTATATTTTATGTCATTATTTATATGTTTGTCTCCTCCGCCAGCAGGTAAAGTCCTCTGAGGGAGGGATCATGTCTATCTTGTTCCCCAATGAGTCTCTAGTGTCCAGCACAGCACCTGGTATATAGTAAGTGCTCAAACATTATTTGTTGACTGACTGAACAAACATACAAAGCTAAAAAGAACCTAAAGACCCAAACGACAGTGAAATGGTCAAATACGGTGTGCTGTATAAAATTAAGTGCCCTAACAAGTGGTCATGACCCAAAAAACCAGCCCCTTTGAACATGCTGTTTGCTTTCTCTAAATGGAAGGTCTTTTTCCAACTATCCATGTAGGAAACTCATATTTACCTCTAAAAGGTTCAACTCAGTTCTGTTCACTCTTTGGAGGTGCTGCTAACTTCCCAGCATGAATACGTTGAGGAAGCCTTTTGATAGCACTGTGGACCTCCTCCCAGCCTCCTGGCCTAATCTCATAGAAAAACTGGAATAAATCTATCAACAAAATGATTTACTTTAAATACACGGCTGAAGTTGAAACCAAGAGAGGGAAATCCATAGGCACTGGAAGCAAGGAAGGACTCAACTCGAGCAGTAAGAACGTGGCCTGTTACCACAAGAGCCCAGGGTTTTATCAGGCCTGGACAGAACAGTATGTGCTAATGGAGGACCTGCAAGTCAATATAGGCTGAAAGGGGATAGGGTCTTAACGCCCATTTGGGGCTGGAAGACTTGAGATTGTTCAAAACTTGGAGTAGATTTGGCACAGTTGAAGAGTTAGTGAACCAATACAGGTCCTAAAAAAGTAGCTGGAATGTAGCCCAGAGAGATAAAGACATGGAGAACACAAAAGAGAGTTTAAGAGACATGGAGAATGGAATGAGAAGGTCCAACAAATATTTAATAGATTTAATAGGAGTTCCAGAAGAAAAGACCAGTGAGAATGAGGTGGAGACAATATTCAAAGAATAATAGCTGAGAACATTCTACAATTCATGAAAAATACTAATTCTCAGATTGCAATAGCATGAATCTGAAAAGGTTAAATGGACAGACTTCTCTACCAAGATACATGCAGGGAAATTGTAAAGTAACAAAAATAAAAGCTTAAAAGCAACTGGGAAAAAAAATCACCCATGAAGGAATCAGAGTCAGACTGACAGCAGACTCTCAAGGCAACAGTGGAGGCCAGAGGCCATGAAGGGAACCTTCCCAGCTAACAGAAAACAGCTCTCAAACAAGAATTTTGTTCCTTGCTAAATTTTCATTAAAGAGTAAGCGCAAAATGAAGATTTTTTTAAAAAACAAATACAGAACTAACCACTCACAGGATCTCACTAAAAGGACTATCCAAGGACACACTTCAGGAAATCGGCTCCAGATGGAAGGAGTGAGATGTAAGAGGCAGCGATGGGCAAACAAACTGGTAAACATGGGAAAACCTGAATAGCATGGACCGTGTAAAACAATAATAGCAAGAATGACTAATGCAGCTACTTCCAAAACAAGGCAGAAGCAAAACACACGTCAACGATAACATGTAAGTTGAAGGTGCTTGTTTTATTCAGGACGGTAGAAATATTGATTAACTTTAGACTTTATAAGTAAGAATAGAACTAAAACGTTTAAGTCTTAAAACAGTAGAAGAAAAGAAGAGTGATAAAGAAAACTTGGCCAGTACGAAACAAGACAGAAAAGGAATAAAGAAAAAAAAAAAGAAGGAGCAGAAGAAATCATAGAAAGTACAAAATAAGTGGTCGGGAAAAAATCCAAACACATCACTCACAATAAATGAAAGTAGACCAAACTTCACAGTTTAAAAAAACAGAGATTTTCCTTTTGGAATTTTAAAAATATAGATATTAATATATGCTGTTTTACAAGAAATACCTAAAATATCACAATAAAAGAATAAAAATAAAAGAATGGGAAAAGATATACCTGATAAATACTAACTGAAGAAAACTGCGATGAGTATTTTTTTTTTTTTTTTTTTTTGAGACAGGGTCTCGTTCTGCTGCCCAGGCTGGAGTGCAGTGCCACCCCAATCATAGCTCACTGCAGCCTCGAGCTCCTGGGCTCAAGCCATCCTCCTGACTCAGCCTCCCACGTATATGGGACTATAGGTGGGCACCACCATGCTTGGCTAATTTTTCTATTTTTTGTAGAGACGGGGTCTCATTCTTGCTCAAGCTGATCTCAAATTCCTGGCCTCAAGCAATCCTCCCACCTCAGCCTCCCAAAGTGCTAGGATTATAGGCGTGAGCCACCATGGCCAGGCCTATGAGTATTTTAATATCAGATATGATAGACCATAAAAGGCATTCATAGGGATAAGAAAAGGTGATTATATAATAACAAAGGAAACAGCCTGCCAGGAAGATATGACAAATCTGTACTTCAGATATGTGTACTAGGAGACATGTATATAATACATAATTCATAGTGTTAGCACTTGGGTATTCATTCTGATGTTGTTTCTTATGTCCTGTTTCTACTGAGAACTCTGGGTGAATGTGAAAAAGACTCACCAAAAGGGACTTAGAAATCCCTGGGTCCCTGGCTAGAACAGTTTATAGCAACACCACAACCCTGGCCACCTTTAGCCCCCATCATATTCTTTACAGACATAGTCACTCTGCTGAGCCACTCTGGCTTTGCACTGTTTGTTATTTGATTCTGCATTTTTAGCACCTACCACCATGTCTGGTAGAGAAAGGCACTCAATAAATGTTAGCTGAATGACAGTTTATGCATCCATTAAAATTATAATTTTGAAGACTATGAAGCCAATTTGAAAAATGTTTATAATATGCATTTCTATTTTAAAAACACAACATAAAACTGTAGATGTACTCTGGTTACAAAAATGCAAAAATTATATATGCATGTGGGTACAAAATGGAAGACAATGTGGAACAGTGTAAATAGTAAATTTGCTAGGTAAGGTCAATGGTGACTTTTTGTTTTTAATTTTTATTATTGCTATTAAATTATTATTTGTATAATTTTAAAAATGAAATAAGAAGAAATGACTATGTAAGTTTAGCTATCCAATAAAGTCATTCCTGAAAACTTTCACCATATATAAGAAGGACAATAGAGTTGTTTTCTAAACCATGGAAATATTTACTCCGAGAGCCAAATTTTGCTTTTCACCATAAAAGCCACAATGTTAGTACAGTGATTCTCTCTGGACCCACAGGGCACTGTTGAGGAAAGTGCAGTGCTGTGGGGAGCAGATGCAGCTGCTACAGCTTCACGCTGTGTTTTCCCTCCCCTTCTCTCATGTCTCTCCTTTCTAGGAACCCCCAAGGCATCCACCCATTACCCAGAGTTTTACAGGACAATATTTCTGTTAGCTTCCACCCTGCTTCCCCTGAGAAAAGGCTCTCTGTCTTGCTTGGATAGAAAATCAGGTAAATTAAAGAGGGTATTCCTTACACAGATTTTGGTCTATATATACCATTTCCACCTGAAAGGAACCAGGGATCCCTGGAGAAATGGCTGATGCCAGGTCTGGGCAGGAGATGTACAAGACGAGCCTGGAGCATTTTGTCACAACAGAAAGCAAGAAAGCTATCCAAGACTATTAAGGTCATGTCAACAGGACTCAGGAGCCAACATGAAAAGGCTTCTACTGGCCCAGATGGAACAAACTGAGCATCAATAAGAATAATAACTGTAATGAATTGAGACATATAAAATATGTTTAAATTCATGAGTTCATAATAATTATTAAGAAAAATAACTAAGAAAAAACACTCATTGACCACTTTTGGAGGATGCTAGGGAACTAGCTCATTATTTTGGAAAGTAGAAAATGAAGGGAAAGAATCAAGGATATCCTGTCTTTCTTACATTAATGGTGCCTCACTGGTACCAAATAGGAGGGGGCCGTTTTCATTATGGAAGTGCTCCAACCAATAGAAAGAAGAAATGATAGACAAAGAGTATCACCACTTTACACTCTCTAGTGAATTAATGAATCTAGGTATGATCAACAAAGGTTGCTAAGATCATAAAAGAGAGACAACCTGTCAGTATACGTTTGCCACCACCTATGAAGTGTTCTTGCCAAAAAAACTGTGAACAGAGGTCTATATACCTAACTATCAACTTAGGGCAGGGAGTTGGGGGAGGGAGACAGGGAAACATGTTAAATGTCACTGCAGGTTGCAATCAGCCAACTCTAGATTGTAAGGAAGCCCACGTAACAATCTAGATTACTTTTAAAATTAAGAAATGAAGCCTATAGATTTAAAAAAATTGTGGCAGATTAACCAATTGCAGTGTACTGACTTAATTTGGATTCTAATTTAAATAAATTATAAAAGAAAACATGAGACAAGCAGTTAAATTCGAACCTTGACTGGATATTAATATTATTAATAATTCTATTAAATGTAAAAAAAGTATTTTCATCTTGTTTTTAAAAAGAGTTCTTATCTTTTAGAGAGATATGGGGAAATATGATGTCTTGTATTTGTTTAAAAAATATCCAGGATTAAGGAAAATAAGCAGGGAAACAGATGAAATTGACTAGCCCTGTTTGTTGAAGCAGGGTAGTGAGTATGTTAGCGGATTCATTATATTATTCTCTTTATGTTTGTATATGTTTAAAATTTTCAATAATAAAAAGTCTAAAACATTAATAAAAAATAAATGAAGCTGTTCCTTATTCTCACAGTTGACGTTTAGGGAAAAAAATGTCAAGGAAACAATGGGACTCTTACCTTTTCATTAACTGGATAAAAACTCTTCTTGGTAATTGGTATACAAAGGTGTCAAAGACAATCTTTAGGTAATTAAAGGACACATAACCACTTTTAGATGGGTCCCCTGCACTGAGAGCCTTTTCAATCTTGTCATAGGACTTCCAAAACTGCAACAAATTAAAATTAGAGTGTGGCATTCATGAAAATCAACTTCATGGAGCTATTCAACCATTTTATTTTTACCAAAACTTCTTCACATTTTCCTCTCCAAAAACTGATCAAAAAGGTTACTATGGCATGTACTGAACTTCAAATGTTTAATTGATGAGCTCACTACAAAACAGTATTCCCAGTCACAGCTACTCAATTGACAAGGCAGACAAGTTTCTCAGGGAAAAACAGCACATATAATAGCTCCACCTCAAATTTCAGAGCTAAAAATACTTGCTGGATCTGCCAGTTTGATACATCTTTCTTAATAAACTTTCAACCATTCCCTACTGTGAGCGCACACTATGATTCTCCTGATTAAGTCAGGCCAATCAAACAAAATAACTGGTAACATTTTTTAAAAATAGTAGTAGTTTTTACAGTAAGGAAAATAATTAATATAAGGATTGCATAAACATAGTACATACAGGACATTTCTTTAATCATTCTTTTTTAAATGGCAAATTACAAAGAACCGGGATGAATGAGCTTTGCTTATGCGACTTCTAAAATGCAATAATATAGGTTAACCAATGATTTTTATATGACTTATAAAAAGACTGTGAAGATTGTTTTTATTCCCAAAGGTTTTCCTGCTGTTTATTATTGAGTAATAACAATATTCCCCAATATTTTCAACCCTCTTACTTGTCTAAATTCAATTTTTCCTGCTAACTGGGATAAGAAGATAAGCAAAAGAACCACCAACTTGGTATAAAAGGTGACTTTCTTAAAGAGCTGCTGGAACATGGAAATATATGTACAAGAGTCTCCATCCACTAAAGGAATAAGAAGCAGATTCATTAAATCTTCCTTAGCGTGCAGAGGAATATTGGAACTCCAAAGGGGAAATCTTTAAAAATATTATGAGACCTACATTTCTTAAAAAGGACCTAAGCTTCTTAGGAAGTTACATAAAGTTAACCCAAAATGTGGCTAAATTTGCCCATTTCTCTTTCAGGGAGGTGAGTTGCATTTGACACACTGCCTGGCGGAAAACTGAAGCAAGAGCCTCGTGTGGAGGAGGGTCTCAGTGTATTTATTGGACTAATGAAGCCCATTTTTAATATCTTAATGACATTTGGTCTCCAGTATTTTTTTTCAGGAGAGCGGTTCTGACATGATCAAGAGCTTTTAGAAAAAGAGCAAGGACTGAACAGAAATACTATCTTTGTGACAGATATCTTTTTAGAAATTTTCATTGTTATTGCTTATAAAGAAAGTACAAGCCATTGTTTAAAAAAATGCAAGCAATTCAGAAAAGTATAAAAAAGGAAATAAAAATACCTGGAAGTCTCACCATCCACAATTTTGTATATAGTGTTCCAAAACCCTCAACATGATCATACAAACATATATTATAATTTTACAAGAATGGAATCATATTACATTTTCAGGTTTGACAAGTGCTTTCTTCATTTAACAGTATGTTATGAAATTTTTTCTGTAAGAACTAGCATGTATCTATATGATTCTTTTAAATGACACATAGTATGCCATTACATTATTGAGGGACCAGCAAAGGGTACACCCGTTTTTCATCCTTATCATCTTTATGCATTGAGTTTTTGTAAACATTTCCCTGATCCCAAATCTAAATAAAGTGCCTGTTGTTATTCTCTCACCTAACATTCTGGACTTTTCTGTCATATGAATAAAAAAATTATTATTTAGGAATGTTTATTCATTTAACATTTCTCTCCCTGATGTAAGGTCATGTGATCTCTATGACAGCAAAGATTATATCTGTTTTGTTCACTAATAATTATAATATCTACAATAAAGCCACAATATTGGCATGCAGTAGGCACTCAATAAATATTTGTTAAAAGTGGACATTTTTATACCAAAAATCTTCTAAACAAAAGTCGCAAGATATAAAAAGCTGTTCAACACATTAGTAATCAGGGAAATGAACATCAAAATCATAGCTGAGATACCATTTCATCTGCATCCGACTGGCAAGTATGTAAAAGCCCGACAATATCAAGTGTTGGTGAGCATGTGGAACAACAGGAATTCTCATATGCTTCTGGTGGGAGTGTAAACCGATATTGTGGAAAACAATCTGATGCTGCCAGTTAAATCTGAGGGGCATGTTTTCAACAATCTAGCAAACAATTCTACTCCTGGGTGTATTTCTCACTCCTAGCTGCAAACCCTGGCACCTGTGCACCAGAAGCTATGTCTGCAGCCATTTATGGTGGCATTGTTTGGATTAGCACAAACAGAATGCAGTTCAAATGTCCATCCATGGGAGAAAGTATAACTTGTGTACTAGTTAGATAACAGAAAACTGCACCACAGTGAAAATGATAATACAGCTACATCCACAATATGTGTGTGTGAATCTCATCCTTAGCAAGAAGAGGCTAGAAATAAATGGCTTTGCAGCTATGCAAGCATGGAAAGAAAGCAACATCAGGCAAAAGACAAAGAACCCGGTCTGTAAGAAAATGTAACATAAAAAATAAATAAATACATCCCCTGCAAGAATTTCATGCCACAAAAAGGAACTAAATAAGAAAATTAATTAATGAAAAGAAAATCTTGAAGATGATAAAGCAATGAAAGAGATGAGAAGGGATGTTTCAAAGCTAAGAAAATAGAAAATGAAAATAACATAATTACAGGAACTAATAAATTAGAAATAGCAAGAATAAGAGACAAAAATGAAATTTAAATTAGTATTAAAGGAGTGGCTTGAAAGAATGAAGGCAGAGGAAAGAAGAAAAGGACTAAAGCAACTTGAGAGAGGATGACAGCTATCAAGGATAAGCAGAAATGACCCAATATAAGGATAACTGCGAGTATCATTGAAGGATGGACGGAGGAAGAGAGAGGGACAGGGGAGATGATTTTAGTGATACGACATAGGACATTTTCCTGAAACCAAGGAAGAATGAATCTGTATGTCAAAAGAACACACTGTGTTCCAGGAAACTTTGTCCAAATGTTCCATGCCAAGACATAGCTTAGTTTTTCTTTTTTAATTTCAAGGATCAAGCAAAAATACTTTAGGCATCCAAGTAGAAAAAGGAAATCACCTACAAGGAGAAAACAATCTGGTTGACCCAGGTTTCTCCACAGCATCATGCAGTGCCGGAAGACAATGGAAAACTATTTACTGCATTATGAGGAAAAGAAAGTACGATGGAAGAATTATACCCAGCCGCCAAGCTGTTGTGCAAGTATAGAATCAAAAGGCACATAGTCTCAAAAATGAAAAAAAACAAAGGGAAAAGCACCCATGAGCCTTTCTTAAGGAAATTATTTGACAGTGAAATCCAGCCAACCAAAAAATACATCAAAATAAAGAACTCTGAGAGGGATAAACTGGGGTAAGCGTTGAGCTATAGTGATGCACATTAAATTCATGTAAATATAAAACAGAGTCAAAACAACATGGGGAATTATGGTGACTGAACAAAATATAAATATTATAAACTTGACTAAGGACAAACTATAAACAACAAAATTGAGAGGTGGGAGGGAGGGGTAGGGAGAAACACACAAGTGCCCGTCACTTCAGTTCTTAGCAGAAAGCCAGCCCATACTGTCTGTAATTGAAACATCCTTCAAAAACATTGTAAGTTCTCCAGCTCTTAATGGCTTTTTAAATCTCTTTTCTTATCTAGAGTCCCCTTGGTTACCTAATATGTCTTGTAGGAAAGAAATATTCATCCAAAGTTCAAAAATGTCTCCGGTTTCACTTGAGGCCAGTATTGTGGGGTTAAGAGCAGGACGATAAAGCTACACTGCTTGAGCTTGTTTAAACTCGGCTCCAGTACCTACTGGCAAGCCATTTAATCCTTTATGCCTCAGTTTCCTCAACTTAAAACTGGGATAACAGTAGTGCCTAACTCCTGTAGTTGCTGTGAAGACTAGCCAGAACACCTAGAGAACACTTAGAACACTATCTGGCACCGAGGAAGCCCCCATAAAAGGCTTACTTACAATGGTGATCAGATGATGGTGATCATGACATTACCTTTCATCTGGTAAATTTGAGGAAATTTAAATTAAATATGTTTTATTTGTTTGTTTATTTGTTTTTAAGAGATGAGTCTCACTCTGTTGCCCAGGCTGGACTGCAGTGGCGCAATCATAGGTCCCTGCAGCCTCGAACACCTGGACTCCAGTGATAGTCCTGCCTTAGCCTCCCAAGTAGCTGGGACTACAGGTGCTAAATATGTTTTATTTTTTAAAAGGAACATGATCCTCTTCTTATAAAATTATTTCTATCTATGTATCCACTCACCCACCCACCCATCCACCCACTGTGCAGCCATCCTTCTATATATGGATAAAGAGAGGTCTAGAATTATGTTCACCAAATGTTGCCTTTGATTATTTCTGGGTGGTGGACTGTGAATAATTTATTACTTTCTTCTTTTTACTTTTCAGAATTGCTTACATTTGTTGTATGTTCATGGACTTTGTAATGGTCATGATTTTATGAAAAAAATAAAGTCATTAACAACAACAAGAGAAAACAAGTGTTACCAATTTACCAACAGAAATTAAAGTGTTCACTTCTCTAAACCCATACCAATACTGGTCTTGCTAGTTTTTCCTCAATGAAAATTTTATATTAATAATTTTTAAAAGTTCTATGTATGTTAGGAAGAGTTATTATTTAACTGTCATTTATGTTGCACATATTTTGCCAAGTTGATCATGTTTATACAAAGTTTTGCTGTACAAAAGCTTTTTCATTTTCATGTAGCCAAATTTATTGGCCTTTTTCTTTATGGCTTTCGGGCTTTACTTCATGCTTAAAAGAGATTCTAAATTTCAAGATTAAAATTTTTTTACTCATACTGTTTATTTTTAAATTTAAATAGTTGATGCATATAGAATTTATTTTTGGTGAAGAATAGAAGGTTACAAGCTTACTTTTCCCAAAATGGCTGGCTAGTGAATTATTTCAATAATTACCGAATAATCCACTTCCTGCTCCTATTATACTTTATTGAAATGTCTCATATCATAGGTTAAATTCACATATAAAGATTGGTTCATCATCCAACTAGCCTTTTAAATCAATTTGAATGTCCATTGCTGGGCCAGCGCTGTATTGTCTTAATTTTTAAACCTTTATAAAATATTTTATATGCGATAGAATAAGTCCTCTATTACAATTTTTCAAAAGAAAAAAATATATATCCAGATACAGTGAGAGAAGGCATTAATACTAAATCTTCCAATCCAAGAATTAGAAAAGACCTCTCCATTTATTCAAGTTGTCCTTTATGTCACTCAATAAAGTGATATCATTTCTTTATATAAGTCTTATATGGTTCTTATTAGAGTTAGTACATGAGTAGCACAAAGGATGTACTTAAAAATTAGTTTCTCATCGCCATCACTATTAGCAGTAGTATTACTGTTACTATTGATGCTTTTAGGAGATGGAATAGGTTTCAGGGCTCGAGGACATGTAGGCAGGATCAAAACAAATTTTAGAAATAACGTCTAGTCCTTAGTTTTTTACAGTTGTCTACTTTGCTATGTTTGTACTCTAGATAACTGTGGCTTTGGGAAAACATTCTTACCTCCTGGCAAAAGGTCCTCTCAATTTCATCTAAGGAGTAGTTTTTCCAATTATCTTCAGATGACACAGAATTGAGTGAACGTTCCTTTCTCGAATTTTTGCCTTGTTGATGCTCTAATGAGACATCTATTAAAACAAAATAGCTTTAGTTTATTAACATTGTCAAAGGTAAATTTAAATGTTGTTTCCGTTCAATCATCACCTGTCTGGCAAAAATTAAGACTTGAATAAGCCAAGAAAATGATCAACCACGTAATAAATTGTATTGAAATGATAAGATGAACATTTTGGAAAAAATAAAATTAGTCTCCTACTTGCTATGTTACTCTACGATAAACCCTAGATAGAGTGAAATGTACATTAAATATAATTTAAAAATCATAAAAGTAGTAGTAGAAAATTAAGATGACTACTACATAATATATAACCTTTGTGTGAGATGGCCTTTTTTGCTGTGAAGAAACCACTAATGCCAGAAATGATTTAAATAATGGATAGAACTGACAATATAAATATTTAATATTTTTGGTTAAAAAAACCCACACAAATAACAGTGAAAAAATGAGTAAGGAAAAAACTATTGTTAACATACATGAGAAATACTGGTCAATTTTCATAATATATGAGTAGCTCTTACAAATTAATAAAATAAACATAAATATTCAATACAACAGTAGACAGAGGTTATAGACAGGTAATTCACATAAAAATAACTAAAAAAATCCAATAAATGTATGAAAAACTGCTCAAGCTCATTGATAATTTTAAAAGTTAACATTTTTTGCTACCCGTCGAATGGGCAAGGATTAAAGGGAATGGTAAGAACCAGTTCTGGCTTATATATAAAAACCTCATACTTGAATATACTTAAATCCCTTTCCAGAACTTTATACTCATGGAATAATAAGACCATTCAACAGATGTATATGGATAAGGATATTTTCTGTACTGTTTGTAAGAGAAAAAAATTGAAACAATCTAAATGCCCATTAATAGAAGATAAGTTTTACAGATTAATGGTTCACCAAACCTATGAAATACTACCCAGACATTACAAAGATGCACATCTAAATTAATGGATATGGAAATTTTTTCTTGTTATATATTGTTTCATGATTTAAAAAAGGACAATTAGCATAATTCAATTTTCATTTTAGCACTTTTTTTATCTTCCTATCTATCCATCCATCTATCCATGTACACATCAGAAACAAATCTGCGAGATAATACACCAAAAAGAACCCAGCAGTAGGATTTAGGTGGTAGGATTACAGGGAACTGTTATTTTGTGCCTTTATGTTTTCTGGCTTTTTTAAAACAAGCAGGTATTACTTTTATAATAAAAGAGAATGAAATAAATCTAAAATATAGCCACTTTCTTTCTCAAAGTCGACTGCAAAGAATCACAAATGGTTTCCCAGATTTATTTCCTGAAATGTCTGCAAATAAGCTTCAGTCAAATTAAGCCCACTTAGCTGCAGTTAACAAACTGCCAGTCATCTGGAATTCCATTTCCTATCTATCTCCCAAAAAAAAAAAAAGTCTCCCCCAGTGGCTCCCTATGGGCTACATAATAAAACACAAAGTTGGTCCTTCAGAACATGGTCTGGAATTCTGTGGCCTCAGTGGGCTGAGAACGAAACATAGGATCTCAGAACACGCAAGGTGCAAGAGGCCTCACTGAAAGATAAGGAAGCCAAGTCACACAACCAGGATCTGGCTTGGTCTGGCACACAGAGGTCTCTGGATCCCTCTCTGATACTTCTTCCTGTCCTAACTCCACCCTGTGACACTGGTACTCTAACACTGACTCACGGGCACACACCCACAGCACACCTAGGGAAGCCCGCTTGTGCTCTTTTTAAACAACATGCCTGTTCGGGAGCGGGGAGAGGGGCGAAGGTGTGAGGCCTGCCCTTGGGAGCTTGGAGTCCAAGACCTCATGCACATGTGCTGTAGTTGCTTTCCCAGGCTGGCTGGCAGAAACCAGGTATGGCACATTCAATGACTCCTCTCTCACCACAATTACACCAGGTTTCATTCTTTAGTGCAACTTAGTAATTCCTGCCATCTTCTGATTTTCCCAAAATTTCCTCTGAAGGATCCTCGCTGATTTTAAACAGGTAGAGAAGAAATCCAAAGCTTAAAGTGGGTTATATACGTCATGAGTGTAGCAAAAGAAAACTAGCTCCCCAATATCATTTCTTCATGCACCCAAATAGATGGTGCTTTTGATAAGCAAGATGGTGATGGCTTATTAAGAACCCAATGTAGCCAAAACAGAAGTATGCAAAATTAATGGAATATATTGTTCTATATTTAGAAAAGTCAAAGATAATGGGTTGCGGCAAATATATGAAATAGACTCTCTTATAGAAGAAAGCAACAAATGCATAAACAGCTCTTGGTAATTACTTCTTATATAACATTTCCCCCCAGACTTGCTACAGTAGCAAGTTTTATCCTTATCATTCATAATTCACAGAGAGTAGAAAAGTAGGAGTTCATAGTAAAGCTAGAAATGGATATAAAGAATTCTTTAGAATTGTGATTAATTATGGATGTCAAATTTTTGGAACAACTGCAAATAGGCGAAGTATATTTTTAAATTATTACTCTCTTAAGAATATCTTCCAAAAATGCTAAAATCATCATACAGAAAACAAATACAGTTGATCCTTGAATAACACATGTTTGAACTGTGTGGGTCCACTTATGCACAGAATTTTTTCAATAAATATACTGGAAAATTTTTCAGTGATTTGGAAAAATTTGAAAAAAATTTGCAAATGAACCATGTAGCCTAGAAATATTGAAAAACTTAAGTTAGGTGAGTCATTAATGCATAAAATTTACATAGATACCAGTCAATTTTATCATTTACTACCATAAAATATATACAAATTTATTATAAGAAGTTAAAATTTATCAAAACTTATGCACACAAACATCTATAGACCTTATATGGCTCCATTCACAGTTGAGAGAAATGTAAACCAATGTAAAGAGTCAATGTTAACACATTGCCTGCCACACTAGAAAAAAAACTTTTCCTTGGGGCCACGGTGTTTTTGCAAATTGAAAAACAGATCTCACAGCTCCCAAGGTGAAGAGACATGTGAGCTACCTATGCTTCATCAGGCCCTGGACTCAAAACTAGCGTGAGTTAAATACAACTCACATGGCAGTTAATGTGTTAAATCATAACTGCATAAAATTAATTGTAGTATATACGGCATTACTGTAGTAAGTTCATAGCCACCTCCTGTTGCTATGCTGTGAGCTCAAGTGCTGTAAGTATCTGCTTAAAATGCCATGTGATGCTAATTATCTCCATGTGAGCAGTTCTTCTCTCCAGTAAATTGCACATTGCAGTAAAAAGTGATCTCTTGCAGTTCTTGAGTATTTTTCATTGTGTTTAGTGCAATACCATAATCCCTGAATAATACCAGGAAATGTAAACAGAATGCCACTAGTGATGCTGGAAATGCTTCCACGAAGCAGAGGAAAGTCGAGACATTACAAGAAAAAGATGAATGGCTTGATCTACACTATACATTGAGGTCTGCAGCTGCAGTTGCCCACCATTTCAAGATAAATGAATTCAGCATAAGGACTGTTGGAAAAAAAGAAAAAAATTCATGAAGCTGTCACTGTAGCTACTCCAGCAGGCATGAAAACTTTGCACTTTTGGTGAAATACCTCTTTTTATCTCATATTGAAAACACAGCTTTTATGTAGGTGCAGGATTGTAATCAGAAAGGCATACCTATAGACTCTAACATGATTCAATAAAAAGTGAAGTCATTATATAACAACTTAAAGCAAAAGGAAGGTGAAGGATCTAAAGCTAGAGGATTTAATGCCAGCAAAGGATGGTTTGATGATTTTACAAAGAGGTTTGGCTTTAAAAATGTCAAGATAACAGGAAAAGCAGCCTTTGCCAACCAAGAGGCAACAGATGAATTCTCAGGCACCATTAAGAAAATCATTGAGAAAAAGGCATACCTGCCTGAACAGGTTTTTAATGCAGACAAAAGTGCCCTATTTTGGAAAGCAAAAATACCACAAAGGACATTTACCAGTAAGGAAGAGAAGCAAGAACCAGTATTTAAGGCAAGAAGGGATAAACTACCTCTACTGTTTTGTCCCTGTGCAGCCAGATTTATGATCAGAGCTTCCCTTGTCTATAAAGCTGCTAACCTCTGAGCCTTGAAGGGAAAAGATAAACACCAGCTTCCAGGCTTTTGGTTGTACAACAAGAAAGCCTGGACAAGGAGAACACTTTTTTTGGATTGGTTCAATGAATGTTTTGTCCCTAAAGTCAGGAAGTACCTTGCCAGTAAGGTCTTTTGAAGTTCTTTTGATATTGGACAATGCCCCTGGCCATCCTCATGAGTTAACACTGAAGGCATCAAAGTGGTCTGCTTGCTTCCAAACATAACATATAATTCGACCCCTAGATCAGGGCATCATAAGGTCCTTTAAGGCTTATTATACACAGTACTCTATGAAGTACTGCCAATGCCATGGAAGAGAAACCCAAGGGAGAGAAGCTTGATAGAGAGAAACCCAACAGAGAAAACATCATCAAAGTCTGGAAGGATTACATCATTGAAGACGCTATCGTTGTTACAGAAAAAGCCATGAAAGCCATCAAGCCTGAAACAATAAATTCCTGCTGGAGAAAACTGTGTCCAGATGTTGTGCACGACTTCACAGGATTTATGACAGAACCAATCAAGGAAATCATGAAAGAGATTGTGGATATGGCCAAAAAGGTGGAGGGTGAGGGTTTTAAGACATGGATCTTGGAGAAATTCAAGAGCTAACAGATACCGCAACACAGGAGTTAACAGAAGGCAACATGATGGAGATGAGTGCTTTCGAACCAATGCCGGAGGATGGAGAAGATGGCGGAGAAGCAGCGGTGCTGGAAAACAACCGACATTAGACAATCTGGCGGGAGAGTTTCGGTTATTCAAGACTGCTTTTGACTTCTTTTAGGGCATGGATCCTTCTATGATACAGGCACTGAAACTAAAGAAAATGGTGGAAGAAGGATTGGTACTGTATAGAAACAGTTTTAGAGAAATGAAAAAGGAAAAAAGTCAGATAGAAATTAA